AGCAGCGTGCCGGGGTGTCGGGCACGGCAAAGCCAGCGGCTCCTGGGCACAGCCCCGAGCCCCTCGTGCCGCTCTACCGGCTGCTCCCCTTCCCAAAGCGCTGGGTCCCACGAGGAGAAAGGATACGGGTTACTGAACATCCTCTTGAGATCCACCTTCTCTTTGCAGTACGGACACGTCTGCTTCTTCCCGACGATGCACCAGCCACGGATGCAGAACTCGTGAAATCTGAGGAGCGCCACGTTAAGGGGAACCACCTCGGGCTGGAGGAGAGGGGACACGACCGAGCGCAGAGGAAACCATCGAGCTTAAAAAAAAAAAAACCCTAAAAGGTCACCCCCCACACCACCGCGTGAGGGACAGGAACCGTCCACGCCGTCCAAGGACGGCCGCATTGCACAACCGCAGCCCTTTCCTAGAAGGCGCAGCGCCTTCCAGGCACAGAGGAAGGGGCTCAGGGGGCGGTGGGCCGGGGAGGGATGACGAGGGCTACGACCAGCGCGCCGGGCGCGGGCGAGACACAAACGCTGCACCAACGGCGCAGACGTAGCGGGGCACACGCTGACACCGGGGCCAGGTTAGACCGACACGGGCAGCCAGGGCGGAGGAGGCAGGGAAGCTCCTCCATCCGAGGGCGAGAGCCGGCGGCAGAGCACCGGCAGGGATGTGCCTGGCTGTGAAATTCCACGGCTTCGAGCACCGGGAAGGGTTGCCAAGCCCAGGAGAGCTCCGCAAAGGCGTCAGGCGAGGCTCCTGCGAAGGCTCCTCAGGAATTAACGACATACTCAAGGAATTTCTCCCACGGTTTGACGCGCAGGTGACAGCCACCCTGCGTCACGGCAAGTGGGCAAGGAGGATTTGCCCAACCTGCGCGTAGGTTGCCCGGAGAAGTCAGGCGGAAAGGTGGGGTGGCCGCAGCCAGGGCCCCGCGGCGCAGCTCCGGGGTGAGGCGATGCTGCGCGCCCTGACGGGAAACTCCGCCAGGCAGGAGGGTGTCACCCAGCACACAGAAACTCCCCCGGGTGACGCCTCTGCTG